ATTAAAGACCTGTGCAATCATTCCCAGCTCTTTTTTTTTTTTTTTAAGATTTATGTATTATGTATACAGTATTCTAGTTGCATGTATGCCTGCATGCCAGAAGAGGGCACCAGACCTCATTATATATGGTTGTGAGCCATCATGTGGTTATGAGGAATTGAACTCAGAACCTCTGGAAGAGAAGCAGTCAGTGCTCTTAACCTCTGAGCCATCTCTCCAAACCTATTCCCAGCTCTTACTCAGTTCTTAACAAAACATAGTAAAAATTGTTGTGAAGATGAAACTATCCCTGATTGACCAATATACACCTGTTCATGACGCTTTCTACATCTGTCCTTTATGTGCTTGTCTCGTGTTTTGCCCAGGTGAGCTCTGGAATCAGCCATTTCTTTAACAGTTCTTCAAGTGGCACTTACCTCCGGGGATGTAAAGGTGTATGTGCTCATTGTCATTGTGGTGTTTGTTCTTCCTGGTCCTATTCTGTTGTCAGAAATAGAGGATGTAGACATGTGAACCTATATTCCTATGTTTTCAGCTACAACTAGTTCAGACTATCTAAATATTCACACAGAAAATGGCGGCTATGACAACATTTGCTTCAAAACTGTGAATTCCTCCCGGTGTAATTGACAAGTTAAGGGGGAAAAGTATAACAAAATGTGTGTTTACACATATTAGATTTTGTTTTTTTAAAGTGGTGCACAAAACTCTCAAAGAACTAATTTTTTAAATCACGTAATAGTATTTACATTAAAATCAATGATGTATCTATACAAATGTATTTATGTATTTCTATATATAAGCAAATGCATAGAAAGTCAATCAGAGAGTGGCAAATGTTGCATCTGGAAGGGCAATGGACTCCTGTAAAAAGAGGTCTGTGGAAGAGAGATTTTTGATTTGCTCATGGCAACTGTTAGCACTGCTTATATCTTCTGTGACAGTGTGGTATGTAACCATATAATGTACATGAATGCAGGTTAGACAGCTTCTTAAAAAGAAAAAAATAGCTGGTTGTGGTAGTGTACACCTTTAATCCCAGCACTAGGGACAGGGGCAGGCAAATCTCTGTGAGTTTGAGGCCAGCCTTGTCTACATAGTGAACTGCAGGACAGCCAGGGCTATATAAAGAGACTATGTCTGAAACACACACACACACACAAACAAAAAACCAGAAAAAAAGAAAGAGAGGAAGGAAGGAAGGAAGGAAGGAAGGAAGGAAGGAAGGAAGGAAGAAGAAAGAAAAAAAGCTGACCACAGAAAACTGCATCTAGCCAAACAAGATGGCACATAAAATATAAACATGTATTATGTATGTATACGTGTATACACACACACCCTTAAATTCTACCCCCTGATTCAATTCATTTTGCATGTACCTGCTGCGAAATAATCCTCTTGTACACTATAAAGATCTGTCACTCGAATTGGTTTAATAAAACGCTGATTGGCCAGTAGCCAGGCAAGAAGTATAGGCTGACGACCAAACTAAGAATGCAGGGAAGAGGAAGAGTGGAGTCAGAAGTCACTAACCAGATGCAGAGAAAATAAAATGAGAATGCTGTACTGAGAAAATGTTCCAAGCTGTGTGGCTAAACACAGATAAGAATTATGAGTTAATTTTAGTGTAAGAGCTCGTTAGTAATAAACCTGAGCATTTATAAGTAATATTAAGCCTCTGAGTGGTTATTTGAGAACTGGTGTGTGGGAGAGAAGCATCTATCTACACGTACCTCATCTGATGCTCACCTCTTAGCTTCAAGCCACCCTCTGTGATGGTTCATCTTCATTGTTAGCTTGACTTGATTTAGAATCACCTGGGAGACACATTTCTAGGCTTATCTGATATGGTACTTTCAGAGAAGATTTGCTTGCAGGAACCCCACCCAGAATGTGAGCAGCACCATTCAATGGCCTAAGTGCCTACAACACAAAGGGGAAATAAGGACACAAAGTGAGCACCAGCATTCATCCCTCTGCTTCCAGAATGCTGGCACAATATGACCTCACATTCCCACCCCCAAGCTTGCAGTTCTATGCCAGGCTATATCCTCCCAAACCATGAACCAAATTAGGCCTTCCTTCTTTGAATGGCATTTGTCAGGTGTTTTGTGACATCAACCTCAAAATGACTCCAAAGTTGCAATCTTTCTGATGCTTACTTAGGCAAAAAAAAATTTTTAGGCCCTTTGTAAGGTAAAGGTCTACATTTTCTAATTGTTGAATCTGTTATTCATATTATTTATAAATTATATGACCACCTTTATTAGGTCTCTATCTTGGATGTTTGAGTGTGTGTGTGTGTGTGTGTGTGTGTGTGTGTGTGTGTGTGTCCCTGATGAAATATTTGAGTTTTGTGTTCCAATTTTGTTCTTTCATAAACTCTTCATTGTCTTGTGTGATTTTTTTCCATGACACAATGGTTTTTACTAAGGCATATGTCACAACAGAACTAATACTATTAAAAACTGTAAGTTCATGAAAATATGTCTCAATTAAGTCCAGCACTGTAGAACTCATTCTAGTGTTTTCTATAATGAAGCTCATATCTTCAATATAAACATGACTCCTACTGTTCTGATTATAATTATTTGATCGAGACAGATCGTTCATCACTAATACTGCCTCATTCTCAGTAAAGATGGATCCTCACCATCTGCATTCAGGCTTCCCCTGTGTGAATGCCACTTTACACTTTGGCAGGCTTTGGCACACACAACACCAGACTTGTGCCTATATCCTCCCTGCCCAATTGTTGGATATGTAAATGAGTGTCTTGTTAAAAGAAGAAATGAAAAGGGGTAAAGAAAGCTAAACAACTACGGTTTGGGGCAGAAGAATAGAAGGTGGTGACATCACCATGGGATATTTTCTCTTGCATTCGCATTATGGAAAAAGTTTGTGTATATTTGTTCCCCTCAAAGTGGATGTGAAAATTGCTATCTTGAATTAGAGCAGCTGGTATAGAAATTTTTAGTTTGTAGATTTTGACATTCCAAACAGACTCTCCAATGTCTTCAAAAGGTCCTGTGTACAGAGAGGAAAGAAGGAAGGAAGGAGAGAAAGA